CTATTTTTTGTCAATGATAATATACTACATAAAACATTTGCAAAAGTGAACTTAATCGTTATTAATATTAATTATCCACACCAGATAAATTATCAAGTTGTTGCAAATACCAATATTGTAGGAACAAAATACAGCAGAAAAAAAAGAAACAAAATGTACTTAATACATAATAAATTAAATAATACCAATATTGAATTGATCACTTAGGAATGTATACTGTAGAGAAAGGTTTGATTACTTATAAATGATTACTGTAAACACATTAACTATTGCTTCAACGTGATAAAATATACATTAAAATAGAAGGCCATGTATTAACTTTACATTTGCGGCAACTGATCGATAGGAGTCGCAAATCTGAAATCCTCTGGGAACAATTTCCCTGCATGAGGATACATTAACTTATAAGACTGTCTGATTGTGACATCAGCTACACCAGCAATATCACCAATTTCTTTTTGAGATCTTTTATCTTCCGAAGCCTGAAATATGACAATGCAATATATAAATGCTATGAAAATAAACAACAAAAAAATGAATTTTCATAATTATATTATATACCTGTGACGCCATGTATATCGCAGCAGCTGCTACAGAAATAGGTGACCTTCCAGGTACAATATCAATTTCTACTGCTTTTCTTGCAATATGTGTGGCAGCACGTTGCACCATATTAGGAAGACCCAAATTAGAACAAAACCTGGACATAAAGTCTCCTGTAGTGATAAGATCCACGCTGGTTTCAAGTGCTTTTAGAATCAGTTTGAAACATCTTCCAATTTCTTTTTTACTGATTTTACTGACTGCACAAATTTCTTTGAAAGTACGAGGTACACCTTCTTGTCTACAGGCAATGTACAAACAAGCTGAAGCTATTGCATCATTGGAACGACCTTTTAAGTTTTTACCATCGTGCACTTGTTTAAATAAGTTATTAGCTCTATCAACAATAGTTTTGGGCAAATTAATGCGGTCAGCCATTCCATTAATTTCACGAAAAGCATTAATCAGTGCTCTGTCAGAACTGCTCATCTGAAAGGAGTATAATTAATTAACATACAGGACAGTCGGTTACATAACACAAAAAAATCCATTATACATACTGTACGTCTATTCTGGTATTTTGAAGCACCAAAAGCATCAAAAGATGCTGCACCAGTTCCAGGGCCAATCATGGTGGATAAATCTGAACCATTAAGAAGTGGATTTTCTGGTCCACCCACACGAGATGGGTCAACTCCCGCTTTTTCATTACTAAACGTTCTCCACTCTGAACCGACATCTATTACCCTATTGTCAAAAAATATTAAGATAATAATTGACAACAATAACAAATATATTATTTTATATATTATATTTACCTATCTCCTACAACTAAGCCACACTCCGAACAAATTTGATCACCTGCACGATAATCTTCAATCAGTGGTGCATCTGGATGTGAATAACAACAAACTTTGTTTGTTTCATGTCTGTAAGTAAAATATTAAGAAAATGTATTGCAAATATTAATCTATACTATATCAATGTAAGAAACTATCTTCGCATCATAATAATACCACGATTTATACTTGTTTCTAATTTATAAACGAGTGTAATCTTGATGTAGTATGTTTTTATATAAAGGTAATAAAGTTACAAAAAATATCCTCTCCGTTAAAAAGAAAACAAAGGAATCGAGAAAGATATGAATCTGAATGCAATTGTGTAACACGATCTCCTACTTGAACTAATTAATCAAGAGCACATTAAAAACAAACAAACACTGTCAGATTTCATAACCAAAGTCCATGACATTATTCTATTTTCAATCAAATCCGATCTAATATCGATTAACAACACTTAATAGAAGAAAACACTATTATGAATTGCATCAATATTAATTTAAATCTACGAGGTAGAACTTTTACAAAATTTACCTTGACGAACTTGCCATATTTTCTATTCGTGTTTTTCCACAGTGCCGCGTATGTCAATGCAGACATTTAACGCCACTACGTATAAGCACTCGTGTGCACCAAGTTACACTCAACGGTAAACCGAACACTCACCATAGTAAACCATTCTGTTTCACGATAGGAAGCATTTCTATCCCCACCATTTTAATGCGCATCCAGGTCTGCGCAGTTGCTTTAGAAAGAGAACGGGCGATGATCGGGAGAGAGAACGAAACCAGCTAGTTCTATGTGTGAGTGTCCACACGGACGAGAACCTAAGCCGTCTCGCTTTATCGTGTTTACGGTCTCACTCTTTTCGCGCATCCGTATTCCTGACGCTCCATCTGAAATACGCGGCGCGATAATCGACTTGTACTTTTCTTCCCGACATTCTCAGCAAGCTAATTTGAAAACATCTTGAAACGACGATCATTAAAATACGATTAGTAAAATTTTCGAAAACCCGTAGATTGCACGATTACGAAGGTCGTTACTGCACACTTCGTGGCCCAAGATTTGAGGTTGTAAACCGCCTGTCGTTAAAAACCGGAACGCGCAGGGACCCGAAATCGAAAAATCGTAGGCTCGGACAGAAAATCTTTTCGCAGGTATGGTTAATCGTTTTATTGCTCGCCCAAATACTTTCTTCCCCGGAACCATTATTTCATAGCATACAAATTGAAAAGCTGCTTATTAGAAGCATGTTTATTCCACGAAGAAAATTATTTCGATCACAGTATATGACAATTGAACTAGTTTTCAATGTCTACGTATAAATATATTCCCATAAAACTATGTAAAGACAATTTATTTAGAATTCAAATAATTGTACAATGCCCGAATAAATAGACGGAATAGTTTGCTCGAATAAATAAATAGAATAGTTCGATCGTAGTTTTATGGGAATATATTTATTTATATTGATTATATATATATTTATTTATATATATTTATATTGAAGACCGGTTCAATTGGCATACAGCGATCGAAATAATTTTCTTCGTGGAATAAACATGCTTCTAATAAGCAGTTTTTCAATTTGTACGCTTCGAAATAATGGTTTCGGGAAAGAGAGATTTAGACTACGAAATAAAATTTAGGCTACGAAAACTCCTTTTGTCCGAGCCTACGACTTTTCAATTTCGGATACCTGGGCGTTCCGGCGACGGTTTACAACCATAAATCTCGGGTCACGAAGTAATGATCTGCGTCTATCTATTGGGTTGGCAATTAAGTAATTGCCGATTTCAGTTATATAGATGTCTCTCACTCCCATTTTTATGATATCCGTAAATGTTATATTATAAAATTATTATTATTATTATTATTATTATTATTATTATTATTATTATTATTATGTTATTTTTTATTATCCGTGAATGTTAACAACTGGACAAATTGAATGCAGAGGTCAAGGAAAAGCGAGCAGAATTGGTCAATCGTAAAGGTGTCATTTTCCAGCAGGACAATGACAATCTTTGTCCACTCGGCAAAAATTGATGGATATTGATTGGGAATCGATGTTACATCCACCATATAGCCCTGATCTCGCGCCATCGGATTACCACTTATTTCGATCCCTGGACAACTCCCTTCGTGCTAAAACTTTTAATGATGATAATAAAATCTCACTTAACTCAGTTTTTGGCCGAAAAGGATCAGACTTTCTACGAGCGTGGAATTTTCAAGTTG